TAATCCCAAGAAACCTGGCACATCATTAGCTTACACACAGTAGCGAATTTATTGGGATACGCAAACAATTATAAAAGAATGACCAAATAGTTCTTCAGCTGGATGAGGCGAGATGGTAGTAATGTACAGGAATCAGTTCACGGAAGAGATGCAAAGTATCCTAGACCACCGGAACGCTTATCAAATACTAAGGAAGGATCCAATTATAAAGATAAACGGGAATGAAGGAAATGCATAACAAAGGAGAAATCGACAAATGGATGATAAACTCTAATTAAAAATGACGCAAGACCAACGACAGCCGACCGACTTTTGAAGATACACAAGTAAGCAAACCGCTAAAATAAAGTGACAGTAACAAGCATGGAACAACACACAAGCTGGCGAATTTCATTTGATTGAAGGTCAAGAAAGTCAATGATAGTCTCTCGAATACCATGAAGAATTAATATGAATTCTTTCAACAGACCTAAACATTGGGCTTGGGGGGACGGAACTATTGGTACATTTTGACGCATGATCCATGTACGCACACCTCAGGCGAGAAACCTGTAAGCCCCCTACCACAGGTCTTGGAGCGAAAAGAGTATATCATGGAGGTAGAGTGGGTACGGAAGGAGTCGTTAACACGACTAATCAATTTGAAAGAAAGTACCACATATTTGACATTCAACGGTAATATCTATGAGCAAATATTTAGACTACCAATTGGATCTCTACCATCACCTCTTTTAGCAAATGTATGCATGGACAAATTGGAAAGGGAATTCGATAAGTCGCCACTGCAACCAAGGGTGCTTATGCGATACTTGGGCGACTACTTTGCACTTTTGTTGCATGGTAAGGCAAGTTAAAATGAATTCCTCAATTTTATGATCCAACTTGATGAACGAATTATATTCATAATGGAGGTGGGGGAGAATGAGCTACTACCTCTCCTTGATCTTGAGGTCATTCGCCCTAACGAGAAACTCAAGGGAAAGTTATTTATAAAGAAATTACATGTGGGGCTAATCACCATTTTCCAGTCCCATCAAAACTTTAGATTGAAGATAGGAATACTGAAGATCAAGACTAACGAACACTGAGTTTTGGGACTAATAATTGGGCAAATTGATTCGGATTTGCCTTAGTAACGGGTACCCAGGGAATTTGCAGAAAGAAATATGTGGATCATAAATAGCAGACTTTGACCTGGATATTATTAAAATAGGATTAGGAACCTGGAGAACGACCAAAAGCGGATATGCCCGACTTCCTATGAGCTAAGTTGAAAATTGCGACCGTTACTAAGAGAATGGAATTTCAAGATAATAACAAAGGAAAGGACACTGCCCTCCACCAGTATGCCAACGCAACACTAGATTGGCAAACTGAATAGCTTGGAAGTTCATCGCAAATAATGCGGTAAATGTGATCAGAAGTATGTTGGTGAAACAGGAAGTTAAATCAGCCTACGAGTCAAGGAAAAGAGAGGACCATGCAGAACTATGGATACGGAAAGGCCCGAAATAGCGGAACACATTTCACGTACGCGACACGAAATCGACATAAAGGCCGGCTTCATAAGTTGAAAATATGAGAAAACGCAAGATTAGGGAGACTGTCGATATCCTGAATGAAAGAAATCTAATGAACTTGAGACTTGAAGGAGGCAGGATTAGTGAAAACTTTGCATATTGCCTAGGCAAATTCATAGAAGGTCAGGCAACAACAGGGCCGACTAGAATCAACATTCCCAGCACAAGAGATGGGTGTGAAAATGCCAACGTAGGGTGTGGAGAGGTCTCATTAACTCCGCTAAAAAGGGCACATCATACCACATTTAAATAAAGAAGTAATAAATGGTGATAATGAAGGGGTAATACGAGGATAGTAGATAAGCGAATACTCCAGGACCGGAGAGATACCACAACTGTTTAGCATACAATTGCTCAAACGATCGACTTCACCCGTCTTTTTATGAGTTGTAGTGTTGTGCTGAGACTGGCAAGGCTCACTGACGATGCCGGCGAAACATTTTGGAATGCGCCAAGTCTATCGTCCGACTGGAAATTATCAGGCATGATATCGACTTAGGATAAGATGCATTCCTCTGTAAGTATGACCAAGTTGCGAGAACAACGTCTAGTAACTTCTATGATTTTTTTGATTTTGCATAGTCGCGCTTTTCCCTTGTAAAAGTTTTGTCGCGTTCTTTTCTAGTATAACTAAATTAGCTCGGAGTCATTGAATCGTTTGCTTTGTATCGCGTCCTTGGCTACTCTATCATAGCCTTTTCTGTTTTACTAGACAATCAGGTACATTCATAATTTTCGTTGGAATCACTGTTGAAATGACTATAAGGATCGAGTTGCAACACTAGTCTAAATTAAGGACAAATTATGAAACGGGGACAATGTACATCTTGTTAAATTTAGAGACAATGAATTGAGACTTCAAGTATTACGAAAAGGCGTGCAAAGATATGCTATTTTATTAAAAAAATCTCGCTTTGTCTTTTGACATTCTGACTTACTTTTTCTGTAGTAGAGAGGGGCAAATGGATATGCAAAACCCCTATTGGTTCCGGTGAGAGAGATAGAGAAGGTGTGGGAGGCCTTGAGAAAAGAAAGGCTTGCATACGTGAGTCTGCTTTATGACGGGATCTTATAAAAATACATTTATTTGGCAAATTAAAACAATATTAGAATCTTAAGCTTTTCAGGCTTTGAAGCAGAGACACAAATCATCTTGCTTGTCGGTTATCATGATTTTTTTCTGAATTAACACGGTAGTAAGCTTCTTATCGGCTTTCTAGATTCAATAGTGAATTAAGGAAAACAAACTAAAGGGCTAAGTTTATTTTTAGGTAAATTCGAAGAGTTTAACAAAATTATTGAAAGCATGGAATTGCGAAAGAAAGCTTATTTGAAGTCTTTACGTAATTTAATAAGCTTTTTCCCCAAATTCTAATTAAAACTCATCCTAGCAGATATTAAGCATATATAATCGATTTGCTTATCCGCAATATTCTAAAAATTTGTATCTGGTCTATCTTTAATACAATAATTTTATCTCTTGTTAATTTGTCTTCCTCTCCTAACCAGTTAATTTTTTCTATATTTTCCATAAAAAAATGTCTCCACCAATGCTCCTCGTACCTTTCAGATATGGCACAATTTGAATCTCTCACAAAAGGTGGGCCAGGTAAAGAAGAAGATTCTTGGCCTTTTCGGCATTGAGGCCAGCCGGGCGAACCAGTTTCTTCTGGTATATTGGGACTCTGTGATGTCATCCATTCAAGGCCCAGAGGAACTCAAGTTTCCTGGCCGGGCAATCCACTCCTACCAGCCAGAGGAGGGTGATACCTTTGAGTTATGTCGCCTTCATAAGCTATGAACGCATAACTTCCTAAATAGCTAGCTGATTGGTCGGTTGTCGTATCTACTCAAATTTTGAAGTTATATATTCAAATCTTTTGGATTCCTTGAGACCCGTAGGTACAATTAATTGACTGTATGGTTTCTTGCTTGCTTGCTTGCTTCATTTTGGTCATTTGTCGCAATGCTGATTGAATATTTGAATTAGGTATGAAAATAGCATCACATTTTGCCAGGCTTCCGAATACTGGTTTGATATATCAATTATTTTGAGTTTAAAATGCAAAATGTATGGTCTCTTCACTTAAGTG